TTCATTCGAATCATGCAAATGTTTGTCGAACCACGCTATAGAATATAACGTTGACCCTCATGATTGTCCAAACGCGTTATAGATTGTCAATGGTTATGCTAATAACACTAATGAATTTTCACTTTTGGGTAAATGATTGTCCATAAATGCTATTGTTTGTCATTTGGTGTTATTGAAGTTGAATTTCGCGCACAAGAAAATACAATCCGCGCATATGAATGTACAAACGCGCTATTGATTGTCCACTGATGCCTATGAATGTACACGCATATTCAATTGTCGTTATTGAAAGTTGATCCGCGCTAATGATGTTACTTGTAGTGTTGATGAAAGTACATTACACGTTATTGATACAACTATTGGCACAAATGAATGTACATTTTCTGTTAATGAACAGCAAAAGGTGTATATCCACATATTAAAGGGCGCTATATAAATCATAATCATAATCATAATAAGTATTGCTGATCATGACGTACCGGTTGAAAAATACTTATAGCAAGTTTGCCATTACTGAAACCTTTTGAATGAACAAACTATCGGTCTTAGTTCGATTGATTTAAAAAATACCAGATTTTGGTCTTAGACATATTGAGGTATAATGTACATTTGAATGGAATCAAAGCTACGTTAACAAGATGAAATACCAACAAAATATATAGAGGATATTTCATGACCGAATTGAAATCAAATATTATAACCTCGAGTTTGAGGTAATATCTTGCAAGTGCATGCAAGATATATTGAGCGCATGCAGCGAGCAAGTAATATATTCTCTGCAACTTCCCTGCTAGCAGAGTCTCCCTCAGTTGGCGATTCTCGCCAAGGCGAGGGAGACTCTGCTGGCGGGGAAACCTCTCAACACGACGAGAAAAATAGCAAAAACATATGTTTGACCCTCGATGTTGGTCGTTCGGCAAGTCGCTCACTTTGGTTTAGTACGGCTCAATGGAATTGCTTTCGATCAAATAGAATTCAACTCTTTCTTTTCACGCCTTTGAGTTTTTTAATGGAATCGTAGCTTTATATTAAAACAACCCTTTCGTTTTGAGTCTTTTTATGGAACAGCCTTCCGTCTGATATAAGACGTGCAACTTAATAAGTATTTTTTGATTACACAGGCTCACGCGGCAATCGTGTAAAACAGTGTTTTTATCGTGATGTTATCAAGACAATTTTGAAAAGGGTTCATTTGGTGCTTTTTTTTGATTCCGGAAATACTCATTCATTTTTTTAAATAAAAAAACTACATTTTTGATGATGCAAACAATTCACAGTAGTATCTCGAAGTTTCGTTTTGATTGATCAGCCAACCCAACACGGACGTACGTACGTCAAACTTTTACGCCCTCGAGGGATATCTGGCTCGGTATTTGACGTTTGTCAACAGTGGGGAAAAAGATTTATCAAACTAAGATATACTAGCTATTATTATTTCTGTGATTTATCAGAGTCAATGTGACAATTAAGACACTCGGAACGGTAAAAATTATAGTTTTTCCATCACAGTTACACTCTGTTGCCCTCAACGGATTATTCAAGTTTGTAGGAAAGAAACTCTAACAAAAAAACGTTCGTGAGAGCATATCCAGGCATGGCCGTAACCACATCCGCAGCCACATGACTCAAAATCCTTCGAGATGTAAATAACAATGAAACAGCCGCCATATTGATTGATCGAACGAGAAAAGCTAATGAGAAATGTATTGTTATTGTCAAACAATGTGGCGGCTATGACGTAACATACACCCCAAGAGTAAGATTGTTCTTTACAAATTCATGGTTTCGACTCAGACTCCTAGTGGACTTAAAATCTTGTACTACAAACAAGTACACAGCATCTGTTTTAAAGAGTACCACAAGGATTACGAGGAAATATTTTCTGTCCTTTTCGCAGGAAAGTAAAGTATTGAAACAATTTATGATTAATTTTCGGCGATCAGAGTTTAAAATCTGAGATATTCTAGATCATTTGTGAAGGGGAGTCGAAACTATGGATTTTTACCACAACTGGCAGATATTGTTTTTTGTTTTTGTTTTGTTTTGTTTTGTTTTGTTTTTTGATTTTGTCTTACTACTCTACAGACCTGTGCCAGGTGCATGGCTGTTCCAAGATGTCATTCAATTTATCTAAAGCAATATCGCTCGCTACTGCTAAGCACTGTTCAGCTTAGCAAGGACACAAAGACATGTCCAGATGTAGAGTTTAATGGTCTATTGAAGAATGTTCAAGGTAATGCCGCTATGATAGACAACGCCCATGGCGTCCCTATAGACCCTATCTAATACTCCCCTCAGGATTTGGGGGGGG